CCATCTGCCCCCATGCCGCGGCCAAGCTAGAATGGCAAATTTGGCCAAAATCGGGGTTTTCGCCATTCTAGCCCGGCCCGCGGTATGTTAATGGACCGGAATTCGGCTGAAATATAGACGTGATGGGCCCTGTCGAGATCTATCATTTGGTACCAAACCTGTCTGAATATCTCGTTTTGGAGACTAGTTATCTGCCGGCCCGCCATCAGCCCGGGCCGGCCCGTTTGCAACTATGTTTTTTCCCATATTTAGCATATTCCATATTCAGGTCAACATTATTACCGTTTTGCAAGCACCCTATTGTCGAAAATAGTGATTTGATCTAATTGAGATACCGTCATATCGATGTTTTGAAACATAATTTTTTCTCAATTGATTTCGTTGACCACTTTTACAAAATTCACTATTCGCCATGATTTTGAAATTTAATAGCAAAATTTTTTCTGTTTCAATCAGCAATCCTTTCAGCCGGTTTTAGGATCCTTCACTCGAATTGATTTTTCAGTCGCAACCAGTAATTTGCTTTTTTCTGGCCTTTGAACAGGAAGAAACCTGTAAAATATACAGACTACAAAAATATCGGAGTCATGGAAGAGAAACGCTGGTGGCCAAGGCCAATGGTCCCACATAGAAAATTACAGTAACCTAAAACATTTTTGTTTTCCGGCAAACTATCTAAAATTGTTTTCCAACTTGTTTTGAGGAAAAACTCGACGAAAAGCAGTGAAATCGTGAAAATACAACAATTTTTAGGTTACGTTAGTTGGGACCTTCGTCCACCGCCACTGGCGTTTTTCTTCTATAGCTCCAATTTTTCGTATCAGAATAATACTAGTTTTTCGTATCTTTCGTGAATTTTCGATCACAAAAGGAGATTGATTAATTGAGAACTCGATTCTTCCTTTTTTCATTTTATTGAAACAGTGAAACTTTTGAAATTGTTACCTTTTGAGACTTCCACAGTTCTACAGTAAACAATTTTTTTTTCATCCAAAATGATGAATCACTTCCTTCTAGGATTTTTTATTCATTGAGAAAACCGAAAAATGAGTACACTATTGAATAGAACCCAAAAAAAAAAGGCGCGGCTGGAAAATTCAATTAAAGAACGTCTTCCTCCCGAAAAATCCAAATCTCTGCGCCTCCACAACTTCCAATACTATTTTCACAATGACTACTCAATTTCACATCTCGTCATATCATTTCTTCACCTTGAAAACATTTCGAAAAACAGTTTTTTGTTTTCTTCCCGCCTCAACGTCTTCCTCCTTCTTGATGGCCACCCGTCGTCCCGCAATCTGTCGTTGTCTTTTTCTCTGCGACCTCCACGATCCTTGTACTATCTCACTCTCGTAGAGGGCAAGCCTCTAATCCGGTCAACCCAGATAGGGCCATTCTTTGTCATAAAAACCGACAAAAAGTGTTGGGAGACTCTTTCGAAAACGCTTTTTTTTTATTTATACGGCAGTGTTGTCCTTTTTATCAATTTAATTGGACTTTTTAAACGTCTAGGGCCTTGCAAAATGACATTTGTGATTCGTATTTCAAAAGCGCACAATAGTTTGAAATAAGGGATTTTTATCACTTTAAACACATTGTGATACTGAAACGGAAATTTTGAATAATCCTAGTTTTCAAATTTCGTGAGTTGAATATAGCAGATATTACATTAGAAACGAACATTTCTAGGAGATGCAGTGGGTGAAATCCTCCAAGCTGTTTCAATTATTCTACTCATTTTGATAAAACATGTACATTGAAAAATGAATCGAATTTCCAGATTAGCTCAATTTCAAAAAAATAGGAAATCGAAAAATCAATATTTTTTGACAACGTAATAAGAAAAAAATCAGTTTCATTTTATTATGATAATTAGTACTATTTTGTCATTCTATTGATAGAAAAAAAATTATATTCTTACCGTAAAACCTCTAATAGCAACGACACCTCGGTTTCTGAGAAAGATATCAAAAAGTGGTTCACAAAAAAGTTGTATTATAATATCAGTAACAATTTGTTTCTCGAACATTTTTATTAGCTTCACCGGGAACTCAGATATGGTAACTCTTTCATCACAATTGTCATGAAAAAAAAAGCCAAGTTTTGATTATTCTTGTAATTAAGACACCTTGTTTAGTTCTGTCAAAAGCCGTTGTCTTTGAAGTGCTCGCCATAAAACAGTAATCGTTTTCGGAAGCCTTAGTTCCCATTGAACTATCCTTTATGACCTTATTCCTCTTGTATCCTGAGAAAGTTCAAGAAATTATAAACTGAAAATTTTGACCAATGAACAATCCAACAACTCTCTGACTTTCATACACAATTACTAACTTAAACACTTACTAACTTACGTTAGCTAAAACCACTAAAGCCAATAATCTTCTCTCAATTCTTCCCTTTTAATCTCTCTGAACCCAAACCAACCAAAAACTCCCACATACACCAAGGTATTCCCCAGACGTCGTTGCCCTTCCTTTGTTCTTTTTCTTTCTCTAAAAATCTAAAAATAGGCATGTCTGTTTCTGATTATATCACATTCCCAGACGAAGGTCTCATAATCGTGATCTTAGAAAAGTCGTCGTTGAAAACAAGATAGGTTTCATGATCATCGTCTATTTATCATTAGGCTTGTTTTTTGGGAATTCAGCCAATTCCTTTCGGTTTCAGTAGAGAGATTCTGGTGGAGTGATTCTGAAATAGTAGATGCAAAAAATCATAAATTGCAGTTTCATAACATTTTCGAAAGAATTCAGGTTTTTTCTGAGTTAGTATGAGGTTCCTTCATTTGTTATTGAAATTTTAAAATAGCTGACTTTCTTGAGTTCAAAAATCCAATTTTACAAAAATCCCTCATGTTTCATAATTGCTTTATTTGGATCGCTAGAGACCAACTTATAAATTTTCAAAAAAAATCCTCTATCATAAATCTCCCAAAAAATCCATCCCTTTGTATTTTTGTCCCTCCCAAACATTTTTTTTCTCGACACAATCAATCTGGTCTTTCCATTCCCTGGTGACTCATCTTTTTTCGATATACATATGTCTCTCCTTCCTTTGACCCCCATTCTGTCTAGTTCTATGTGTGTGCTTTTGGTGTAAAAGGCAACATTTTTGGACACTCCCAAAAATTCCATTTTCGCTAGAAGGGTTCTTGACATTCGAAATTGATTTTGAAATTGATTTTGAAGGAGGGTTCTTGAGGGATTCTGTGAAGTGAATTGAAGATTTTCAATAATATCAAGATTGCAATTTCCGAATGTTCTGAAACAGAATTTTAGGGATTTTCGGAATCAAAAATTGCAAATCAACGCCTTTCAAATACAGTACTCTTTTAGATCCACTTTCTCTACAAAAATTGCATTTACATTAGGAATTTCTGGAATTGATTATCGATGATTTTACATTCGATTCTGTAATTTTACATTCGATTCTGAAAATTTTCAGTTTCAACTTTTCTTCATTCTCTGCAAAAACTAAAATCGTTGATACATTTGAATACAGTAATTAACTTTTCGACGATAAATCTGCAATAAATCTGAATTCGAAACTCTGGAAATCGTTTCAAAACTACAAAATATTGTTTTCGAAAATTTTTTTTGAATCGAAAATTATCTTCCTGCAACAGATTGTATTCTAGGTCCGCCCATAAAAATAGGTAGATAAGTCAACATCAGTTCGATTTTTTCTTCCGTTTCGTGTTGAAGATATATTCTGTAAAAGTTTATACTAGTTTGATCTGTACAAAATCCATAACTTCACAAAAGGGTTAGAAAAATTCAAACTGAAAGCCCTTTTTTTTGAAAACTTTCGTGACTTTTTCAAAAAAACTTTTTCAAAAAACCTTCCTCGAATGAAAATTTAGAGGTCTTTTCACAGTTACTGGTTCTAATAATATCTGATTAAAAAAAAATTTACCTGTTTCGAAACATTTTTGTTTTCTTAAAGGTGGGGGGAAATGAGAAAAATAATTTTGTCGGAATTCCGTTTAAATATGCTCCTCGAGGAGCTGAACTTGTCGAGGCGAGTGTTGAAGGTGCGGCGCCGCTACCGACTGAACTACGCGTGCAAAGAGAAAGCCGCTGCCCGATTGCATACATAAAGGCGAGGGCGACAGCTGTACGCAGAGTGTCAGTAAGCGTTGTAGGCCGTTACGGTAGAATGCATACTCTGGCCCCAAAAACCCCCCGTAAAATCTCCTGTCCCCCCACCTTTAAAAAATTGTGATGCATTTAATCCGCCTTCTAATACGAGTTTACAGATCTTATTAATTACTATTTTAAAACTTCCAACTAGAATCAAGTCACCAACCAGCTGATTATTTTTATTATTTTTAGGATTTCAATCCCCAATGATCATTTTTTCAAAACAAAACATCAAGCTCACTGCAAAATTTTTCTCGATTTTAGTTCTCTGCGTCTACCTATCCTCTCTCTTCGAATTTCTTTCTCTTGTTCTTCTTGGATGAGATAATTTTATCGCTTCGAGCTTCTCTCTTCCTGAATATCTTCTTCTTCTTCTTCCACTCATTTACACATCACACCAACCACATGAAATAAATTCTGGAGGGTGGGGACCCTCCTTTTCTCTTTTCAACATTCTCCCGAGCATCTATGTGCTCTTTTTCACTCGCAATTTCCTCTCTCTACGTCTACGTCTCTATTGAATTGCGACATCTTTTCTTATGACTGGTGGCCGGTCATTTCCTGCACCTCCCCATCCCTTATCAGTTGACACATTTTCTCCATTCTCGTCACTTTCATCGTCTTCTTCTTCATTTCTACAATCATATTCCAGTCTTCTCTATTTATCTCCTCCTCCTCCTCTTATCACTATCATTCGAAATCAATCGTCATCAATATTCTGCGTTCTTTTTCATCTTATTCTCCACTAAACAATTATTCTTCTTGTGCCTGTAGACCCTGGATCACGGAGGCAGTAGCAAAAGTGTCTCATCGGCGCGACTACCGGACGCGTTGGCACTTTGTCTGAAGGCGACGCGAATGGAGACATCGAAAGAGTTCGAGTTTCGGCCGGCCAAAGAGACATCGCGGTCGAAAAGTCCCGGTGGAATCGTTGGTCGGTTGTCGAATTTCGCGAGAAATAAGGCTCGACACTCGTTGAGTGAAAAGGGCTCGAATTCGGTTGGTGGAAGTGGTGGAAGCGGGTTTGATAAGCCGAGAAAGGTAGATTTTTTTGGGGGATCTCTATTTCAAAATTCTCAAAAGTTGTGTTTCGAAAATTATCTTCGATTTCATAATGTGATGTAAATGACTCTGTGAATTTGAATTTTCCGCCATACTTTTAAAAAGTTTACTGCTTCAAAATGTTGGTTTAAAATTTCTATCGAATGCAACATTAATGGTCAACTGTCAACTACTATTTTCAAAAATTGAAAAATAAAGAAAAGTTGTTTTTCCTAGGGCAGAAAGATTCAATGTTTCAAAAAATTATCTTCACAAATACACTGAAACAGTAGTAATCAGAGACCGAATCTTTACATCTAAATATCAAATTAAAGAATTAGAATTGAAATTGAATGAAATCTAAATTTTAATCATAAATTGAACGGTTTCAAAAAGTTTGTTTCATATTCAAATGTATGTAAAAAAGCTGCTGAATAAAAACTGAAATCTAGCATTGTTTCCGAAAATTGGTTTCAGAGTCTAAAAATATTATTGTTGTGCGAAAAAATTGGAGTCGAGACGCAGACAGTTGAACAAATAATTTCTCTGCGTCTCCACCGAGTATGTGCTATTTAGGCTTGTCGCTTCGAGGTGCCTACCGTATTCAGACTGCAAAAAATACTCTCTAACTCCAATTTTTTCGGACAACAATAATACAAAAAACGGTATTTGCAATTAGCACAATCGTGGTAAAAATAACTAAAAACACAAACAAAAATATTTTTAATGATTTTTTCGAAACTAAAATGCTTCTAACTTTTCTAAAATGTTCATTTTAGTAGATTCCTACGAAGAATAGTATTTATTTCCAATAACTTCAAATTACAACAAAGTTGAAACTGTGCAATTTTGGTTTCTCATTCCCACAATTTCCAATTTAAAAACCAATATGCAAACTAATACAAATTCAATGAATTTTGAAAAGAAATGAAACAGAAAAATTTTCAAATTCTCATTTTCTCAAACTTCAATTTTAAGGATCTTCTGAAGGAGTTCCACAAATGCAAAGAAGCACAGGATCAACGTTTGGATTTGAGTTCAATCGAAATCACGAGCATTCCATCACCAATTAAAGAGCTCACACAACTCACCGAACTCTTTTTGTACAAGGTTGGTTTTGAAGATTTTTAAATCTTAAATGAAAAAGATAATAAAATCCGGGAGGGAAACAAAAAAATTAAAGTCAGAGAAACAGTGATTTTTTTCTGGTGCTTCAAATAATTGAAATACTTATACATACGAAGTGAAGATCGATGTGAATTGTTTTTTGATAGCTATGTTTTCTCGGTGAAACAGAAAATGTTATTCTGACTGTTACTTTTTCGAAATCTAGTCAAATGTTTCAAATTTCTTATCACACCGAACTTCCGAAAAACAAAGATGCGCCCACGCTTTCCATGAAGAAGACAAAAAACGGGTTTCCCCCCACACACATTTCCGGTCACCGTAAATTATCAATTTTCCCATCCTCCCCCTTTTCGAAACTTTTTAAATGATAACGCGTATCATCTTATCTCTGATTAAACATTTTTTCAGAACAAACTTACATGTCTACCAACGGAAATCGGTCAACTTGTGAATCTCAAAAAGCTAGGACTCTCTGAAAACGCCTTATCTTCTCTGCCCGACTCTCTTTCCTCACTGGAATCTCTAGAAACTCTGGATTTAAGGCATAACAAGCTGACAGAAGTTCCAGCTGTTATTTATAAAATCACATCGTTGGAGACGTTATGGTTGAGGTACAATCGAATTGTGGCCGTGGATGAGCAAATTGGGAATTTGCAAAAATTGAAAATGTTGGATGTTAGAGAGAATAAGATTCGAGAACTTCCGTCTGCGATTGGGAAGCTGTCGTCGTTGGTGGTGTGTCTCGTGTCCTATAATCATTTGACACGCGTTCCAGAAGGTTAGTTCATCTTCACTTTACTTTATTGAAAGAAAAATTCTAACGGTTGGATGAAACCCTAGTACTACGAAAACCTTAACCTGAACTTATTGAAATTTTGAAACAGAAATCATTTCAAAGTGCATGTTTGTTCAGCTTTCCCAAACTTCAATTTGATTTTTATCAAATTCAGCGGAAAAAAGTTCCGAACAATTTCAAAAATTTTCTCTGATTCTCAGCTTCTTCGAGTTTTTCAGAAACCATTCTACTATAATGTCTCTGCTTGTTGAAAAACTGTTGAAACAGAAGAATTTTAAAAAAACTAGTCAAAATTTTTTCCTGATTCACTATTTCAACTGTTAAAAAATTTACTCACCCTACTCTGCCGACAGTCAGTAACTTATTTTAAAACTTTCCAGAAATCGGTGAATGCCACGCACTGACTCAACTCGATCTTCAACACAACGACCTGTCGGAACTACCGTATTCCATTGGAAAATTGACTAATTTGGTTCGAATCGGAATTCGATACAACAAGATTCGTTGCATTCCGAGTGAATTGGAGAGTTGTCAACAGTTGGAAGAGTTCATTGTGGAGAGCAATCATTTGCAGTTGTTACCGGTATGATTTTTTTCAAAAGAAGAAGCTCGGCTAATAGTATGAATTTGTTCATGAAAAAAATTCTTGATGTCTGCAGAAATTCAGTAGCTTTTTTTGATTTTCAACCAATTTATGGAGATTTTGAAACAGAAAAGTTGTTGTTTTTTAAACACTCGATTTTGATAAATATAAGTGTTTGAGCTCAATTTCAAAAGTTCGGGCTTCACAATGCTACCAAATTTGAAAAATCATGTTATCCGATTTATAGATTCCTGCAAAAAAATTATTTTTCAGCCAAATCTCCTGACAATGCTCCCAAAGATCCACACAGTCAATCTCTCAAGAAACGAGCTCACAGCTTTCCCAGCCGGCGGACCACAACAATTTGTGCCGACTGTAACGATAAACATGGAACATAATCAAATTTCAAAAATCCCAATTGGAATCTTCTCGAAAGCCACGCGGCTAACGAAACTGAATCTGAAGGAGAATGAGCTGGTCTCGCTACCTCTTGGTGAGTTTTTGAAGTTGTTTTTGAGAACAATAGATAGAAAAGATTCTGAGTATATATTGTAAGACCAACTAAATTGAATATGAACTTTTTGAAACAGAAAACATTCTAAAATATTACTTTCAGATATGGGATCCTGGACATCAATCACCGAACTGAATCTCTCTACAAATCAACTCAAAGTGCTACCAGAAGATATTGAAAAATTAGTGAATCTGGAAATTCTAGTCCTTTCCAACAATCAACTCAAAAAACTGCCCAACCAAATCGGAAATCTCAAAAAACTCCGCGAGCTGGATCTCGAGGAGAATGAGTTGGAGACGGTTCCAACGGAAATTGGATTCTTACAGCATTTGACAAAATTGTGGGTTCAGTCGAATAAGATTGTCACACTGCCACGATCCATTGGAAACTTGTGTTCACTTCAGGATTTGAGATTGGGAGAAAATAATTTGACGGCGATTCCAGAGGAGATTGGTGAGTGATTTGAGGAATTTTTGATTGAAAAGCTTGATGTTTTGAAAATACAAAAATGAGAAAATCTTATAACAAAAAACATGTTTCACAAAGTTTGCAAGTTCAAGAAGCATCACCTACAGTAGTTCCTATTGGTTTTCAATTCCCGCTTAAAATTCTCCGTTTATCATTTTTGACACTTTTTCATAGATGACCTAGAATTTTCAATTTTTCCGGAATTCTGCCGCTAGCCGACATTGCGACTGCGTAGCTCAGCCGGTTGTAACTCCTATGGCCCATGGGTTAGAAAAATATTTACCTTTTCAAACTGGTTTTATATAAGAAAGCCATTTTGATAACTAATATTTGGCGGGGTAGCAACGAAAATCAAAATTTCCAATTCTTTCAGGTCATTTGGACTCTCTGAAATCTCTCTACCTTAACGACAACTCTTCCCTTCACAACCTTCCATTTGAATTGGCACTGTGCCAATCCCTTGAAATCATGTCCATTGAGAACTCTCCTCTTTCCCAAATCCCACCAGAAATCACTGCTGGTGGACCATCGCTTGTGATACAATACCTCAAAATGCAAGGACCGTATCGTGGAGTTGTGATGACGGGACAATAACATTTATGCAAAGCTGCAGTAATCCCAATCTTTTTCTGCCCTACGGGTTACAAATCGTTTCGCTCCTTCATCTTCCAAGCCTATATTTTATTGAATTTCTTCCTCCCATCACCCGATTTTTTTTCAACGAAATCACTTTTGCCTCTTTAAATTGTCTCAAAAAAAACTCTTCTGAAAAATAATATCACGTTTCTTTATGGTACGTCTCAAATCGTGTCTCTTCAATTGTAAAACTGAAATTTTAATTGAATTTTTCATGTCTTATGATTATTTTTTATCTAAATCCACTATCCAGCAATTCCCATTTTCTTCCCGCTGCATTTCCCTTTTTGTCCTAATTTTTAAGTTTTCTGATTCCTTACAAATCTTTTGTTCCCAGTTTCCTTTTCCGTAAGTAATAAATCCTGCAAGTTGTGATTCTTTGGAAAGTTACAAAAAAAAGAAAATCAGTTCGTCTGAAAGCTAGTGAAGTGGATAGAAGCAGAGTCATACTGTACAGTTAAGATACTTGAGATCTAACTTCTTTGGGATTTTAATTTTTTGAGAATCGTTTTATTGCACTTGATACATAAAAATTAGAAAAATTATCAGAAAAATTATCAGAAAAAAGTTTATTAGAAAAGATGGCCTATTACCGTAAAACCTGTATTAGAAGAGCCGACCCTTCTATTTAAGGTACCTCCGGGGTCCCTTCTATTACAGGAGCCCTTTTATTTTTCCTGTCATTTTTCAGTAAATGTATCATCAAAAAAATTCGGCGAATTTTAATTCGAAATCTATGAAATCTACGTTCGAAATCTATAGCTCTACAAAACGGACCTAAAAGCCTGCTGCTGTCAGAAGTTCGGAAAAATATTTGTTATTATCCACTATTATTCATGTCTAGGTTAAGTAATATCAATTTTATGTCACCATGTCCCTTTTTGTCTATTTATTCTCTATTTCATTCTTTTTTCTTTTTATTCTTCCACGTATTTTTTACGTAATAAATACAAACAATACAATACAAAATCTGTCCAATTTTATGAAAGTTTAGCAAGTTTTTTATTTAAGAAATATTGTTTCAACAAATTTCTTTTAAAAACATGCGGAACATTTTAAATTTCAAGACACATTTTGGAAGGGGTCCTTCTTTACTGGGGGCCGTTCTATTACGGGGGCCCTTCTATTACAGGGAGCCTTCTATTTTTCCAAGCCTCTTTCGGAGGGCATTTCCATTAGAAGGGGTCCTTCCAATACAGGTTTTACGGTAAATAAGGTTTCTGTGAAAACTGTCTCATCAGGGCGACTACTTCTGAAGGCGACGCGAATAGAGACATCGAAAAAGTTCGATTTTCGTCCGGCTAGAGAAACATTTGAAAAAAGAACGATATTTTCAAGGAGTAATACACAGTTCAAAAAGGAAAATTCAAAGATTATTTAAACGTGGGGAAAACATTTTTAGTGGGTAAAAAAAGAGCCGTTGCAAAAAAACACCTGATGGAAAAAAGCATATATATATATAATTATAGAATTACGAAAACTACGTGAAACGGTTTAGAAGATTGAGATCGTAGATAAACTTGTGTGAGTACTATAAAAGAAGAGGGAAATAGAGGAACGAATCAGTTCTCGCTTTCTCTGGGCTTCAGAAAGGGGAGCCTGGAGAGCCTCGGGCCTCGGGCAGTGGCCTGGTGGCATGGTGGCCTGGTGGCCTGGTGGCCTGGGCCCTGATGGGCTGGGTCCTGGTGGCCTGGGCCTTGGTGGCCTGGGCCCTGGTGGCCTGGGCCCTGGTGGCCTGGGCCCTGGTGGCCTGGGGCCTCGGGCCCTGGTTGTCTGGGCCCTGTTGGCCTGGTGGCCTGGGCCCTGATGGGTGGGTCCTGGTGGCCTGGGCCTTGGTGGCCTGGGCCCTGGTGGCCTGGGGCCTCGGGCCCTGGTTGTCTGGGCCCTGGTGGACTGGACCCTGGTGGACTGGGGCCTCCTCGGGTCTTGGTGACCGGGTGCTGGGGCCTGAGGCCTGGGGCCGGAAGACCGGGCCATGCGGCCTGAAGGCCGGGTGCATTTATGAACGAAATATTTTTGTAAATTGTTTTTTATTCCCCTCCATCCCAAAATTATTCTTCTTAATGTTTTTTGAACTTTCAGAACAACTCATCTTCGTTCAACCCCTCCCATCCGTCAGTATCTAATTTCTCAATGTCAATAAATTCCAGAACTGTTTCTCTTTCTCTATTTTTCTTTCTGTTTGTCCCAAAACTTTGCAAAAGAGCCCCCACAGCTGCCACGTCATTAAAACGAAAAACATATGAGGAGGTCATTAAAATGAAAAGGGAATACGAACACAGATGTTTTACAACATTGAGAACTAGCAGATTACATAAACATGGTGGTTCTTTTTTGTGAAGTCTTGTTAGCTTTTTGCGAAAAAAGTTGGTTTATGAAGATTTCGACTTTTACGAAGTTAGCTTCCAAAGGTTTAACTGTCTGGATATGTAAATTTGCTGAATTATGTTTATAAAAAAGTTTCTCATTAAAAATATAGTCTTTAAAGAATTTAGATTTCAATGAAAAATCTGGAACTGTAAATCTTCCAAATTTTGACAGAAATTCAAATACTTGTTTAAATAGCTTAAATAGCTGATGATAATCAAGATCGTTATTTTGACTGATCGTGAGAAATTAAAGTAGTACAAAATTGGTGACGTAGATGAGAAACGCCAGTGACAGTCGCAAAAGGTCCCACAGGGACAATTATCGTAACCTAAAAATACTTCACATCCTTTTTAAACGTATCTCTTTGAATGACCGAAAATCTATATTCCCGAAACAGACTGTTTCAGGTACACTTCTAGGAATGTCAGAGAGCGTTTTGAAATATTAGAAGCTTTCTATACAAAATAATTCATTACGTTTTGTTTACTAAAAAAGTAGTTTTTGTATTGGTCACCTGTTTAAATAAGTAGACGAAACTGCGAAATTTGAACATTTTGACATGCATTTACCATGAAATGTGTTCAGACCTGCACTACATAGCGTCTTTTATACCGAATGAATAATTCTATTAAAAGTTCGGATTATATATGGTTTGAAACTGTGAATAGCTCGAAATAGTTTTTTTACTTTATAATTTTCAATGAATTTACATTTTCAATTGATTCGGTTAATCTTCCCATATTGAGTAATGGAAACAGAAATATTTCTCGACTGCGCCTGAAATGTTTTCGCTGATCACTTCAATCCTCAAAATTGATCCGCAAATTTTGCATTCTGCAATACAGTTTTATAGTGCTATAAGTCTCTAGTTCATTCATTGAATTGTTTTACTTTTTGCCAGCTCCTTAATTATATTTGAAATTTCAGAAATATTAGGATTCGACTTGTTTTAACAGCCATTATGATTGGAAAATACTCACCAGACGTTTTATAAAATACCCATTAAAAATTTCCTGTTTTAAAAAGTTAAATAATGGCTGAGGCACTGGCTCCAAAAATAGTGCTTTGTCTAAGCTATGAAAAAATTATCTCACTAAAACCAATTAAACTAATGAACCCTACTACTTCAATAAAGAATTTCACACTTTTTTTTCAAACACGACCTATTTGAGAAACTAATTCTACACAAAAACGAGCTGAAACCTTTTAAGGAATCTCATTAAACTAGACTTAAGAATGAGAATGAGTCATACCGTAGTTCAATGGGTGGAAAGCTTTTAGTGAGCTCTCATAAAGTCGTACTGTAGCTAATGAGATGAAAAAGTTTTGTCCCATTTCGTCGTAGCACACTGTAATTGAGCATTCAGGTAAAGTCTAGTTTTAAAGGGGGACTCCGACCAAAAATTTTTATTGCATTTAAATGTTCGAAAAGTTGTCTATTTTCCCAATATTATAGCGAAAAAATTCGAAAAAAATCCGAAATCCCCGAAAAATGCCGTTCAAAGCGAAAAATTTTCAAAAAAAAGTTGCTAGGAGGGACGAGGATTCGAATTCCCGCGCAGTGAGAAACCTAGGCCACGGCGCCTGATAGCCGTTTTTTCAAGTGGCCGACAGTTATTTTTCA